CTCACTTTAAAGGATAACTATGGGGTTAAGGCTTTTCCCCATAGTTTTCCTTAGGGTAACGGGAGGACACAAACTAGCGTCCTCCCGTCACCCTAGGCTCAGTATACCGCGAGCTACAGCTCGTGGTATACTGAGACGCCGCAGCCGGAGCGGATCCCGACAATTGTGCCGGGATCCGCCCAGCTGCATGACTGACAGCTGGCTCTGCCTATCTAGAGGCAGAGCCAGCTGTACCCGCCCCTTCCCCCGTCCGTTCCGCCGGTCAGCGCTGGTGGATCGGAGCGGAGAGGTGGGAATCCAGCCCCTCCCCTGTCACAGCAGAGAGCCGTGACAGGATAGAGAGGTGAGCGGACGCCGGTATGTGTTCGCTCACCTCCCGTTCTACTAAGCCGACTTGTGACAGTCTCATTGTCACAGGTCGGCTAGAACTATGAGGTGAGTGAAAAGCACCCACCTCATAGTTCTCCTTTAAGCCGATCACATTCACATTTTTATCCAGAAACCAGAAAAGGAATTCTGTTTCTGTTACAATCGAAAAAAAAAAAAAGCTAAAAAAGCCACAAACAGACGTTTTCCCCCCATAATGTCAGTTACTCAAAGTCTCGAGCTACCCAAAAAACAGAGATTGCGGTGAACATCACTGGCACGGCTCCCACTGTCAGCCTCTCTCCTCTTGTTCAGACAATGTTCTCGGAGTCTGGAGGACTCAGTGGGGTGTTGGGAACTGAGTGTTTGTATGATCGCGAATGCGGAGTTGGCGGAGGCTACGTACGCCGCGTGCCGGATGAAAAATGAGACACAGAAGCATGACGGGTAGAAAGTTCCAGAGCACTCTCAACAGGAAGCCACTAACAAGAAGATTTATTGTTGAGTTGGAACTAAGAGCTACAGGATGCTAGGGTTCAGGATGAACCAGGTTCTTCTATTATCTCCTTCAAAAACACCTTTACGGTTCCTCTTCGGCCTGCGGGCCGATCGTTTGCATTTAAAAAAGAAGCAAAGATTTGTTTCTTTATTGCAGCCAAAAATCAAGAAAATCATACATTCTTCCCGTGTTGCCACTGCCGATGTTATTTTCTGCTATTACACGGCTGTGTATTGCATAGTATTATGTTGTAGTGTACTGTAGGCCTGACATCTAGTGGTAGATTTGTGCTACTACAGCTTATTTTTCTGTATACATTGGTATCTCCCACTGTTCTCACCTCTTGTTTAGGGAGTTGGCATAGTTTTATAGACCCTCCCTGCTTCTTCCACTTCCCTCATTCTTATTGCTAGCCTTCATCACAGACACTAGGCTTCCAGGAAGATCTATGTCTCTAGCTCAAGGATCTATGTGTCTAAGACCCTAGGTAGATCCATGTCTTTTTACTCTTCATGTGACCACTGAACATCTTCTGTAATGTACTTTTGAGAAGTAAAACTAAGTTCTTAACCAATCACCAATCATAAAGAACCATGGGTGTAAGATATAGAGGTGCTCCTTGGGTGGTGATGACTCGACTTACGATTTTTCGCATTTACATCCAAGGATTGGTAGGTGCCAGATACCTGTAGTTTCTGGTTGCTTTACAGATAACAGTAACTCTTAAGCAATCAGCCCCGAGGCGCTCTGCTTCCCCATTCACCTTTCGGCTCGCTTCCGCAGCCGTCAGGTGAATGTAAACAGCCGGGAGCAAAAGCAAGACTGCTATTGGCTATTTCAAATTGCAATAGAAAATAGCAGGCTGGCTATAGCACCCGCCCACTGAGCAGAGGTGGACCTGAGAGAGAACTTTCTCTCTCAGGTCCACTCCTCCTCTTAGTGGGCGAGGATTTAATAGCCAGCCTGCTATTGGCTATTGCAATTTGAAATAGTCAACAGCCATTTTGGTGTCACCCCCTCTGAAAAGTCTGGCGCTCAGTAATGGACCGAGAGCCTGACAGTTGCAGGAGAGAGGAGGGGACCCGGCGGCACACCTTATCCAGCCGGGTGAACGTTCCCTCCTCTCTCTGCCGGCGTGCATAACCAAGATGAATGCCGGCAGGTATCGCCAAGATGGCCATGCATTTGCGATGACGTCATTGCGTACCCGCTCCAGATGAATCCCGGCCTCGGGATGCCCCTGGCTATCATAGCGAATATGTGATTGGCAGCCATTTCTCCCAGCTACTGATTGTCAGACTAAGACCAGGAATGGTCAGTGGCAGCGTGGCCTTTGTGCTGGTGGTGCGCTATGGAGCGCGATCCTACCACAAAGGCATGCTGCATTTTGCGGCGCCACAGAAGAAGGCCCACCGCTGTGACACCGTGTATATATGCGACATCCGTGTCAAGGTGTTAACTTCCTGTACTCATCAGCACCATCTCAGGGTGCTAGTGCTGCGCGGACTTTTACAAATGAGCCCCTTAATATGGGGTCACCTGGGTAAAGTTTAAGGGGGATTTATCTTTTCCCAGAAGCTTGAAAGACATATAAAACCGAGTCAGACCTCCCTGCAGCGCCATAGCTGACATCAGCACCTGTCCATCGACCCCGCGCACGTAAAAACCGTCTGCTCGCCTTTTTAGAATCACTCAGCTTCACTAACGATCTCGCGGAAACGCCGTGTAACAGATTAGACCGTTACCGTGAAATTGCCTCAGTCAGCAATTCCGTGATCTATACCTCACCGAGCGTGACGCTTCCACGCGTGATTTATCCCAGGCCCCTGAGAAATCACCTTCCAGTCTATAAAACACCGCCGTTTGATGACAATCCGATAAGTACCGGATGCGAGCTTTGTGATCGATGCACTTCATCTAATTAATGGGAACCTGAAACTGTTGCTGTTTAACATATACTAAGTCCATTATACCAACTTCTATCCTCGGCTAAGAAAACCGCCAACCACCGCGCACAGTCAATAAATAGTGAATGAGGCCAGACGCTGAAGAGGAAATCTGGTCGGCTTATATAGATGGATGGATGGATGGATGGATATAGACGGATGGATGGATGGATCTGGTTATTAGGAGTAGGATAGAACTTATGGAAATTCAATATAGAAATACAGATTTATTTTTAGTTTCTGTCCATAGACACCCTTTAAGACAGGAAGTGTGTTACTGGCTGGATCACCTGGTGACAATAAAAGAAAAAATGTCTAAAAGAAAAAAAAGAAAAATAGTGCAGCGTAGGGTTGCCACCTTTTCTTCCAGTGAAACCCGAACACTCTAGCAACGCACGGACATTTTTGGGGAGAATGAGTCGCGGCTTTTGCCTATGTAAATAGCGCCACCCCTTCATATGCAAATATCACAGTTGAGATTATTTTCAGTGGGGGGCCAGTAGCCCCATTCTTAATTTTGGTTGCCCCTGTCTGCCTGACATCTTGGACACAGCATTCAAAACCCTGACAGGTGGCAACCCTAATGCAGCCACCACATCTAACTGCTAAGCTGCAATCTATGAATGTTTTTTATTTTAGGTTTAAAGTAGTATTAAACTCTCAATCTTTACCATAATGTATCCAGATCAAACAAATATGCATGGCCCAGCAAAGAATGAATGTAATCATTTGCAGTCATCATGGTTCCAAAAAGGGATGCACCCATACTGATACTAGTATCGGTATCGGTGCCGATACCGAGTATTTGGATATTGGAGTGCTCGTATTTACCCAAATGCTCCGATACCTCCCCAATACCAGAACTTCCGGTCAGAGGAAGATTTCTTCTGACCGGCAGTGCCATAGAGGAACATGGAGCCGGGCAATCAGAAAGCTGAGCTGCGAGTAATGAGCCGCCTCCCGGCTTCCTGATTGGTCGGGAAGCTGGCTCCATCCAGATAGGCTGGGAAGCCGGCTTCCCGACCAATCAGCATCGAGCTGGCCGACCAGCCTGCTCCTTGCTGATTGGCTGAGAAGCTGGTTATCCAGCCAATCAGCATGGAACTGGCTTCCTGGCCAATCAGGAAGTCGGGAGGCAGGCCATTTCGTCCGAAACCTGAACCGAATTGAATTTCAGATCCGAATTCCGAAATAACTTAATATCCGAACCAAACCTATTTTTTCCGCAGCTTACATGTCTAGATTGACCAGCGAAACGTCTTCAAGAAAAATACAGCAACTCTAAGGAGTGATTTTGAAGCTTTTATCTGGCTATTTATTTCTTTTGTATAGTCGTCATTCTCCATTTCATAGTAGCTCCTTCCATATTCAGAGGAGCTCCTCCTGTATTGGAGTAGCTCCTTCCAAGTTCGTAGGAGCTCCTCCCATGTCCAGAATAGATTCTCCCATATTCAGAGTAGCTCCTTCCATGTGCAGAGGAGCTCCTCTTGTAATCACAGTAACGCCTTCCATGTTTGGAGAAGCCCCTCCCATGTTGGGAGTAGCTCCTTCCATGTTTGTAGGAGCTCCTCCCGTGTTCATGAGGTGCTCCTTCCATGTTCTGAGGAGCTCCCATGTGTTTTGGAGCAGATCCTTCCATGTTCGTAGGAGCTCCTCCCGTGTTCAGAGGTGGTCCTTCCATGTTCTGAGGAGCTCCCCTGTGTTTTGGAGCAGATCCTTCCATGTTCGTAGGAGCTCCTTCCGTGTTTTGGAGCAGATCCTTCCATGTTTGGAGGAGCTCAAGTTCAGATCGGGTTCAGTCCAAACCTCAGATCAACCCTACTGCTCAGGTTTATTATAGGTGCAATGACTACAGAGGTCAGCCTTCCGCTTACTATACACCAGTAGAATTTGGTTCCAAAAATTTTGTTTTCAGAGTGTTCAGTCAATTTTCTATTAGTTAAGGTGGTCAAATTGCTGATGGTTTTCCATCATGACATAGTTACACAAAGCGTTGTTGTAGCAGTGATTTGTAGCGACCACATTGTGTTCTTGTTATGTGAAGAATTAAGGATTTGTGTCACAGGAATGTTTTTTAAACATTATACTGCGTATGCATATTATGACGTGGCAAGAATTGTTTCCTGCAGACCTGTAAAGTTACTGACAGGTCCACTTTAATATCTGCATTCTGTTCTTTCTCTTCGCAGTTCTGCTGATTACTATATTGGTCGTAGAGGGAATTGCCGTGGCGCAGAGGACGCAAGGTACGTAAGTAGACAGCGCCTTTCGCATCGCCCGCTGTGTCTCAGAACTGGTTTGTCATTTTCGAGGCGACCTTCTGCCGCTCTCAATGAAATACAATATAATACCAGATCTGATTACCATTTCCTAATAGCAGCCCTTTCAGTGTTGCCCTGGCAGCAGTGATTAAATGACTGCGGGCAGAGAATGTCTGGACAATGCGGGCAGCACACAGTGCAGAGACCAGGAATGTCCTTTGCCCATTATAGATGCAAGGTGGCAGAACATATATTTACTGGCATTTCCCATCTACGACCGAGTCAAATTGGATTAACTCTCTAGGTAGCCAGGTGAGTGCTGCCCAGAGGCTGCTATGTATAGAGCTGGTGGCACATATATGCAGATAGTACAGGGCAAGGCGACCTTATGAGGGAATAGGCTGATTCATAGGCATGGGTGGTGATTCAAAGTATCATTCCACTTGTAAATAATAATATGGAGCCAAGTGGGCTTCTTACATATCTTGGATGTCCGGGGATTTCCCTGCCTGCAGCTGCACATAAGCAAAGCTTGGGGTGTAGTGATGTCATCAACCTTATACGGCCACAAGGCTGTAATTGGTTAATGTCATGTGGCTATGTGGCCATATAAGGTCAATATCGTCAGCACAAACATCCCACACCTTTGTGTACGTGGAGCTGCGGGGCAGGAAATGCCATGGCGGCCCATGCATTTCCATGGGTGGCCCAATGTAGTTTCTGGGTTCCGAGTAAGATCCCAGTCCAAATCAGGGCTCATCCCTACACCATATTAGACAGGTTCCTTACAATGTCAACGGTTTCTCTTTTCCTTATTTGCAACAGTAATCATATAAAGTGGTTGGGGGGGAAAAGAGGAGGAGCCTGTAGAAGGTTAGTGGTTATTCGTTTCTGTAATATATTATTGGTATTTATTTCAGATGGACCAGTTATGGGAGCGAAACACATCCCTGTGACCCAGTGTGGCACCTGGGTCAGAACCAGTAACGGAGGACACTTTGCATCACCAAATTTTCCCAACACCTATCCTCCGAACAAAGAATGTGTCTATATATTAGAAGGTTGGTAAAATGTTTTCCTCACTCTTTTAGTGCCCAATCACACTTTATTCAGGGCCGGATTTACTCTCTCTGCTGCCCCAAGGCCAGGTTCTTCAATGCACCCCCCGCCCCACCCCCCCAATGGCAGGCTGCATACAAGTGATCTCGGTGACATCGCCGGGATCACTTGGCTGGGCAGAGCTAAATGTGCCCGGAACTGCATGTGCCGGGCAACGGGAGATAGGAATTCCACACCCCTGCTGCCCCTGGTCTATAGATTCATGTTGAAATACCTGAATGTATTTGTTTCCCATCACTGCCTATCATCTTCTCTGCTGTCAGAAGGTCAATTTGTGGGTGTTCATATTGCTGCCTTGCATCTTTCTGTTGGGAAGCAGAGGCAAGCACTAACCCCAACAGCTTCTTCTCGCCCCTCCTATTGTGAAGATCAGACCCAGATCCCTTCTTTCCGCCCTCTCAATCTTGAGTGCCCAGTAATTGTTTTACAGACACACCCCTTCCCTCTGCATGTGTCATGACTGCATTGATCCCCAGCAAGCGCCTGGTGCCAAGTCCAGCATTATCAATCAGCACTACTTAGTTATTCATCTTCTGCAGAGCAGCGTGGTCGGACAGGGGTGGGGGAGGCGGTGTGCTGTCAACCAGACTAGCTCTGAGTCTACAGCACCTATAAAAATAAGGCAAAGTGCTACATGAACATTGTCCTCTGGGGGACAGGATGGATAAAATATATTTATGGTAAGACTTTTTCTATAAGTTAGCCAATAAAGCTAAACTTCAAACTTTCTGCAAAGTCAAAAGAGTACATTTTAACACTGTGGGGTCTTATCCTTCAGCTGCTCCTCGCCAAAGAATTGAGCTGACCTTCGATGAGCCCTACCACATAGAACCTTCCTTCGAATGTCGCTTCGATCACCTAGAAGTACGAGATGGTCCGTTTGGCTTCTCTCCGCTCATCGATCGGTACTGCGGGATTCGGAGCCCGACAGCAATCAGATCGACGGGGCGCTTTATGTGGATTAAGTTCACCTCCGATGAAGAGCTGGAAGGCCTGGGGTTCCGAGCGAAATATTCCTTCATTCCAGGTACAGAGAGCCGGGAACTACGGGCTTCATCTGGATTAGAAACATATTATTTCCAATTCTTTTTATAAGGATCATTCTTGACATGTCACAATACACAGCAACAGTATCATTTTTGAAAAAGTTGCACCTTTAACATATAAAGTTAGTCCTTAAGTTACAGTCAGTGCTCTTATCTAGGCTGAGATGATGTCATCAGTCTGCTGCATGAAGGAAGAAGCATTTGCTCAGTCTATATTCCTCCAGGGATCACTTAGATGGTACATTGTAACGTTGTAGCAGCACACAGAAATAGCTATCTACTGCACATATGGCTGCGAGGGAGCTCTACTCATACGTGCATTGCTTACAACTCCCTCACGTGTCCTGTAGAGGCGCCTGGAGCGGAGAGATGTCACATTCTGGCTTCCGGAACCTCTAAAGGACACGCAAGGGAGCTGTGAAAGCAAAGCACATATGGATGGAGCTCCATCACAGCACAGTAGCCCACACAGGACCCCAGTCTGAGTATCCACTCCAGTTCTCGTAAGATAGGGAGACTGCAAGGATCTTAAAAAAAGATTTTTTTTTTTTGAGAGTGTGCATGTGTGTGTGAGAATGTCTGTGAGTGTGTGAGAATGTGTCTGTGGTTGTGTGTGTGTGTCAGTGTTTTTGAGGGCCCGTTCACACTAGTATAGTGTGTATAGTGTGTTAATCGCACAGTCCTGTTCTGATGTGTGTTGCATTGTCATTCATTTGAATGGCACCCTAAACACACCTCCCACCCACAGTCTGATCGCCCGCATCGGAACGCGCGGTACGTAACCGTAATGCCGTGCGTTCCAGTGCAGTGCGACTTGGGTCACGACTTAATGACCAAGGACAAATGTGGGTCCTGAGGATACACAGGTTGAGAACCACTGCCGTAGATGATGCCTGAACAAAGATGGCTTCATCTTCTGGAGAGAAAAGCAGATGAAGGCATTGTCAGGGGGAGTACTGTGACCTCTGTGAGAAGTTATAAATACCTGAAAGAGTTGCACAGACTCTATACTTAGCATGCATGCACTTAGCATGAAAAACTGAAGCAAAGTCTGCTTTAACTTAATCATATCTGACAGTATCTGACATATCTGACACTTAAGTTAAATAGGGAACGTGGGGGGATGCTTGCAGGCATAGAGAACTGATTTCAATAACTGGCTTCTGCATTGTGCTCCTGTGTTTCAACTGGGACAGCTATAAACCTGACAGAGGGTCTAACCACAGCTCCCCAGCTGTAGCCAAAATGTTATTTCAGTGTCTGGGGTGCTCCTTTAGAATCCTAACCTTGGCTAAGATTGTTGATCCTAACCTGTCAGATGATTAATAATAATAATGTGAAACTGTGGTCAGCCTATGGATATTCAAGAATGTATATATTCTTAAGTAGTAAATGTGTTTTAAAGCAAGCCCTCACTGACCTCTGTAGCTGCAACCACTGTGGGGAAATTCAGCCTCGAAATTTACAGTGGAAGCACTGGAGTCATTTAAGTCAATTGCTCATCAGCTCAGCTGCTCCCCCCCGTACTCTTGTAGGTGGAGTGGGAATGTTATAGAAACTCTGCCAGGTTTTTTTTTTCTTATCGTGGCCTTGGCCCCTATTGGGCAGATTACCGGCCACAGCTGAACTCTAGCCCCCCCTTTAGTCTTGCACAGTTGTACCGGCTCCTCTCCTGGACTGAAATGGCTGCCTCTGATTTCACTGCACACTTTGAGCTTTTCACAATGTACATTCGAAGCTGCAATAAGTCAGATAAAGCCATTTCCTGGGTGGACATCCAGCATCATCCAGCCTTTTCCACCCCACCCTGTCCCTGGCCCACCCCTTTCATTTATTGGACTTCAATTCTAACAAATATGGAACGGTCAGCATTATATGTAGGTGTTACCTTGGGTGGGCTGCATGCAAATGCAGCCTGCCTAGGAATGCCCACTTCTCCAGACTGACTTCCACCCATCAAGAAATCCACTGCTTGTATCGGGGCTGAGGGCTCTTGAGAGGAGTTCTGAGGCTTTGATGAAGCAATATAAAGCATTGCATGTGCATTGCATGGAGAGGCACAGAGAGGCAATGGTGAGTCTAAAATAAAATATGTAATGAAAATGGAAGGGATTTATTTAAAAATGTGATTAGCATGTTGATGGAGGGACAGGAGGAAGCAGGGAAAGCAAACTATAACAGCTTCAAGGTAAGAAATAAGCAGAGGCTGATATGATTTGTATTTTCTTGCAGACCCGGATTTCAGCTATCTCGGAGGTATTCTGAGCCCCATACCAGGTCTGTATTCGTTTCCTGAGTCTGATTCTCTGTTAATGAAAGTCCCTTGTTGTTCCACTGACCTCCTTCCTTTGTTTTCTTCAGACTGTCAGTTCGATTTATCCGGACCAGATGGAATTATCCGATCCAGTCAGGTGGAACAGGGAGATAAACTCAAAGCAGGCCAAGCTGTAGACTGCATATGGACTATAAAGGCAACGCCGAAAGCTAAGGTAGGACTATTGGAAGGCTTGAGATATTATTTAAAGGGACATTTCATCAAACGTGTCTTCAACTAATTAGGGTGAAAGAAAATGTAATCTGAGACTAGTTTTATGTATGGCTCCATACAGTTCACATCAACAGTGTGACCACCTAGTCCAGGGATGGCCAAACTCCGGCCCTCCAGCTGTGGTGAAACAACAAATCCCATGAAGCATCTCTCTCCAGGAGTCATGTCTGTGAGAATCGTGCAAAGCCTCATGGGATTTGTAGTTCCGCCACAGCTGGAGGGCCGCAGTTTGGCCATTCCTGACCTAGTCTTACTGTCCTGTCTGACTGTCCTTTATGGGTCATACCACCCCTACAATCAGGGCCGGATTTCCCACAAGGCCACCGAGGCTCGGCAGGGGTGTGGAATTTCTCTCGATGCCCGGGACATGCAGTTCTGAGCAACGGGTGGGTAGATTTTTTTTCTACATTTAGCCCTGCTTTGGGCAAGCAGAGCTAAATGTAGAGGAGGGGGGTAGCCACCACTCGTTTTGTACAGACCCAGGAACTCAGTACAGGAATGGTGGGAGCTCCTCATAATGGGCACAACAGGTTAGCAGACCCAGGAATTCACCAAAGGGATAGTGGGAGCTCCTCATAATGAGCACAGCAGGTGAGCAGACCCAGGAATTCAGCACAGGGATGGTGGAAACCGCTCAGCAGGGATGTAGACCCATGAACTCAGAGAACAGGTGAGTGCAGAGATCTTCCCAATAGAGTCTATGAGAGGTAGAAGGAACTGCCAGGTGGTAGAACTCTTCAACATCTACCAAACACTGAAATATTTTTTTGCGTTGGAATAACGCTTTATTAATAATATTTTCACCCAGATTTATTTACGATTCTTGGACTACCAAATGGAACATTCCAATGAGTGCAAGCGCAACTTTGTAGCGGTCTATGATGGAAGTAGCTCCATAGAGAATCTCAAAGCCAAATTCTGTAGCACGGTGGCCAATGACGTCATGCTGCAGACAGGAACGGGGGTGGTGCGGATGTGGGCAGATGAAGGGAGCCGACTCAGCAGATTCCGAATGCTCTTTACATCATTTGTGGAACGTAAGTATGCTGGATATAATATTACCCATGCTGAATTGTCTTATGGTGGAAGTGTTGCATCTTTGATTACTTACATATACTTTATATGGCCAAACGTATGCTGGCCCTCCAAATGATGTTCCAGCATACAAAAACATTTTAGACAATTGTTTGGCTCCAACCTTGTAAGAACAGTTTGGGAAAGGACCTTTTATGTTCCATTGTGACTGTGCCCCTGTACACAAAGCCGTCTCCATAAACACGAGTGGTCTATACCCAGCCCTGACCTCAACCCTACTCAGTACCTTTGGGATGAATTGAAATACTGAAAACATCCAACATTAGTACGTGACCTCACAAAACCTCTTTTGGCTGAATGGGCACAAATTCCCACAGACACACTTCAAACTCTTGTGGAAAGTCTTCCCAGAAGAATGGAGGCTTTTGTAGCTGCAAAGGGAGGGGGTAACTCCATGTTACTGTTGGGGCTGAAGGCAACATTAGTGAGGGGGCTTCACAACCACTGCAGGACACAGGGGCCTCCACTTGGTCCAAGATGATCTCTAAAAGACCTGACAAAGTCCAATTTAGGATCTTACATAAGCTATATTCAACATACATTCAATATTTTTCATTAATACACTACTGAATTTATTTTTTTTCACCTGGCTGGAGTTTTGCTCCAAAAAGAATCAAAAATTTTGCTTATTCAGGACAAAGTGGCACCCACTGATACTCACCTTTGTACATCGGACTTGTAAATGAATAATTTTGCATTGTATTCCCTCTCCTCGGCGGTTGTGCCAACACCCCTATTCAATATGTAGAATACAAAACACAATTTTTTTGGGACTACCTTTAATGGCCCCAAAAATGGTGTTCATATTCTTTGTAAATCGAAGCCCTCAGAAGTACCCAGGGAGCATGTGGCCCACTACCTCCCAGGATGCAGTGCTAAGGTTTGGGGGCAGATTTCGGGAGCCAAACAATGCTACGTGGGAAAGGGAAGTAGTTCATTAACCCTTTGTAAGCTCAGACATTACCCGTCACGCTTACACATGGATTAGACCCAGGGCTCTGACAGATCAACAGAGTAGCAGGGGGAACACGGGGAAGGTGGGTTGGGGTGGAGGAACTTTCAGGAGAGCCCGTATCTTTACCCTGAATGATCAAAATGATATATTCTCTATAATAGTACAGAAGATAAGCACAGCAAAGGTTTTGATGTTGTCATGCTGGTGAGCAAAGTTTGGAAAGCGCTGCATTACACTGTACATAACAAGTATCTTAATGTGTTTCCAGCTCCGTGTGGGGAAAACACCTTCTTCTGCCACAGTAACATGTGCATTAACAACTCCCTGGTCTGCAATGGCATACAGAACTGTGCCTACCCCTGGGATGAAAACCACTGCAGAGGTGAGAGGCCAGATTGCATGCTGGATTTTAGAGACTGGGATGTCACGGTGGGAGAATTTCCATTCAATTCCTGTCTAGGAAATGCAACAGGAAGTGGCAATGGTCACAGGACAAATAGAGAGGGTGACTCTCCACACACAGAAATAAAAACCTGACCCTCTATTCAAAAAGTAAGAAAAAAGGTTTTGGCATTGTATAGACTCAGAGAAGGGGCACATACCCTCCCTAGTCTCTTTGCATAGAGATTATGTACAGATTTGGAGACATAAGTTGTTACAGAATAAAGATGTATTTGGATCCCACAAAAGCATCTGTTTTTACTCGGTGGCATCTCTTGGGTTACGTGGGGGGAGGGGGAGGGGGACGTATGCAGAACCGCATGTTTCTTGTATAGTGCCTGCTCTGCTGCACAATGCTGCCCCTTTCCAGGCTGAGAATAACAGGTTGCTCAGGCGGTGAGATGTATAAGAGCCATACACATTTCCCCACCCAGCTCTTAACAACCTAGGATGCCATGGCTTGCGTCGTGCCCAACTCCTGGCCAGTGATGTCACCGGTTTCCAGGAGCTGAGCAGGATGCCGGCCAAAACTTCCCACATCTGCAGAGGGCGGCATTACTCTTGGGCAGCGCCAACTCCCAACAACCACCCCCACCCCGACCTCCCAGCCTCAGGCGGCAAAAAGTCTAGGGACACTAATGGATACAGCATATTTGGTGGTCCTGTTGCTCACAGATCATGGACCTGGACTTTATTTTTGCATACATGCTCTGATGCTCATAATTCAGCCATATAATAGCCATCCATAAGAATTTCAATTCTTGTAAACAAAATTCATACTGTTATTATACAGCATGAAACAATAGCCTTTATGCATGGCTCATGAGCTCCCACTACTGGACAGATGTATGTATTATTATTTGCACATAAACATATCAGGGGTTCTTATTATAGATATTAGTGATAATGAAGTGCAAAATGATCAGGTTAAAGGAAGTATGTTACAAACAGGTATTTCAGAAAGTCCCACCATTCTCACCATGCAGACGACTCATCAATGTCTAGTCCAACCTACCTCCACCCCTCTACATCAGGAATTGGCTGTTCTACGAACAACTGGAGTGGCTGCAGAGTCAATCAAACATGCCTTCCTCATATAGACTTGTACACACACACACACACACACACACACACACACAATTTGTGTGAAGCTGCTGCCCAAATTGGCTTTGACACCCAACAAAAATGTTTTAAATACAAAGGTTCTTCTCTATTCAAGTAATCTAATAGGCTGCTTCACAGTACAAAGGTATCAGTAAAAGTTTTTATATCCAGGTCATGGTATGTCTAGTAGTAGTTAGTCACATTCGACTGGACATGTTCTGTAATGTTGAATATGTTCCACCACTTATGCGAGTAGATTCCCCAGCTTAAATGAGCCTCAGGAGCATACCCCAGAATTTATATCCACACAGGTGACTAAATAACCTTAAAGAACTTTATCCATATCTTCACAATAGCAACAAAGACCTTTACAAATGTTTAGTAATGACAATGTACAAACACATACTTGTAGATAATTGCCGGCTTTTTTTTCTTTGCATACTTCCCCATTCTTCTGACAGCAGCTATTTTAACTAAGGGCAGATTAATACATCTCCCTTTACTTCCTGGAACTCTGGCACATGTGACTAGGACATGTGACCATGCAATCCTCTCAAGGGAGGAAAATGCCTTTCCCTGAGATCTCCTGAGATTACAGATGAGATTCCCTAGCAATGCTCTGCTGATGTAACCTTCCCAAGATGCAACGCTTGGGCGCATTACATCATTTGTGCCAGAACTGGACCCGGAAGTAGATGAACTCTATTTGTAAGTAAATCAAAAATATGTTTGTTTAACTAATAAAGGTCAGATGATTTTAAAACAGAATGGAGAGCAGTAAA